TACCCCCCCCCCCCCCCCCCTGGATCTGCCACTCCTGTCTTACCGTACGCCCTTTTCTGTCAACATTCTTGTAAAACTGTCTGTGATTTGTCTTCCACCATAAGGCAGTCTTGTGGTTCCTGCCTCGATCATACATCCTATGTTCACGGGAAATGGTACGTGTAAGTAAATGTTAAGAAAGTTGAATCGAGAACGTAGAAAAACATCAATGAAACAAAACCGAGAACTCCTACCTTCCACAACTGGAAAGATATCGATATGATTGCCAATATCCACTGCAAACAAAAGAGTAAATGTGTTTTCAAAACCAAATGCAACAGTCTACATGTATTTTATAAGGAGGCGCCGTGTTCTCATCGTTAGTGCGCTCGTCTCCGAAACGAGCGGTCCGGGTTCGAGCTCTGGCTAAGGACATTGCGATGTGTCCTTGGACAAGATATTTTACTCTCAGAGTGCCTCTCTCCACCCAGATGTATAAATGGGTACCGGTGAATTTGATGCTGGGGGTAACCCTGCGATGGTCTAGCATTCCATCCAGGGAGCAGTAGAAATACTCCTAGTCGCTTCATGCTGCAGAACCCGGGATAAGCACCGGCCTGATGGGCCACTTGGATCGTATGCAGACTTTATCTACCTTACATGTACTTTATACGCTCAAGTACAAGATATAAGTACTCTATCGTTATTTAGCTTGCTATCTTTGTCAATCACGGCGTTATAAGGCATGAGGTAGCCTCTCCTCTCTATCAAGATTCATTTCGCGGAACGCGACTTACCAAACTAAGTGACTTTGTCACGGAATGCCCTTACTACGTGACTTTGTCACGAAATGCCCTCACAACGTGAGATTGTCACGAAATGCCCTCACAAAATTAAAGACCGGACAATGACAATTTTTGGCTCGACTCACCAACAATCCCTGAAATAGCGCTGTAGGAGTACATGGCTAGAATAGCTTGCTCCTGAAGATAACAGGCCTCGACTTGGAAGTGATCCAACAACAGCTCTACAAGCTCCTCCTGTTAATAAAGATCCAACGAAATAAAATAAAGTGAACCTCTATTAACCGTTAAGCTGCCACACCCTGTTAGGCGGCGAGGTATAAAAGTCCCGAACTTGTTGTCAGTGCAATCTTCTATTAACTGTATGTTTTAACCGGTCTCCTCTATTAAGCAGCCGTGGCAACTTTTGGTCGTCACAACGAGGGTTTTTTATTGTCTTTATCCCTATTGAGCGGCCACCCAAAATTTAATAAACGTAGTTTGGCTTTGTTTGGAAAAGGCGATGACAGGTCAGACTCCGAAATAGAAAGTGACCACTGATAAAAACGTTCAAACAAACGTTTATTATTGCCTTTACGCGATTCCATGATGCCTTCATTAAAGCATGTTTATATTTAAATAAATCGACGTTTCTACTAAAACTCATGCTACTAAATTCCTGAAGAAATCCTGTTAAACAGCCACCTGTCATTTCCCCAAAGGTGGCCGCTTCATTAACAGGGTTCGATACCTGAAATTAGTTTGTAGTTTTTAATCTCGTTTTTTACGAGACAGGATACAAAAGAGTCAATAACGTACCTTTTCTTGTGGTCCAGAAGCGTGCGGCAATGTCATAATCACCTGCAGATAATTAACTTTTTTTTTTCACTGATCACTTGGCTGAATTAGGTGACACGCTGATACCCTCGCTTACTTTTGAAATACTTCTGGAAAAAGCATAAACTGCCTGACTTACTGACTGACTGACGGACGGACGGACGGACTGACTGACTGACTGACTGACTGACTGACTGACTGACTGACGGACGGACTGACGGACGGACTGTCGGAATGTCGGACTAATGGACTGACGGACGGAGACTTAACTTAATGAATAGCATTGACTGTCTGAGTAACTAACAAACGGACTGAGAATTTAAACAGTGACTAACTGACTTCCTGACTCGTAGACCGATTGCTTCAAGAGCAAAATTATGTTCTTACTGCATTAAAAAAAAAAAAAAAAAAAAAAAGAAAAATAGATTTGGTACTGACTGTCACAAACGACAACATTAATAGACCGATAACTATCATAACTGTAGAAATATACCAAAAAAATACTACCTAAACGGACAAACTAAACGACGAACTGAACGTCTTGTCAATAATTTTGGAAAAAAAAAAGTCACAAAATGCCAGATTCCTACCTTGTGCTTTGATGGATTAACCTTGAGCTTGTCAAAAACATGCTCAAAGATTCCAATTAAATCAAGAATCTCGAACTTGAGCTGCAACAACATAATCAAAGGAACGTTAGAATATAAAGCGGAAAGATAAATCTACATTACTTAAGTAAAAGAGGACTTTTTCCGTGTTTACATAGCTTCATCTAAACACGTGAGGGGTTGGGAAAAATCGCGACAGTTATGCAAATCCGAGACACACTCCAGGGTTTCAAAAATTTCAAGAATTCCAAGAGAATTCGAGAGTTACCTTGTCGATTTTGAGTGATTTTCTTAACGGGAAGCACAATCTCGACATCTTTCTTGTTTCTGGAAGAAGAGCAGCGTGTCCATATTTGCAATTTTCCCTATAAATAGACGAAAGAGATAACGATGACAAACTGCTGAAAAAAAAAAAAAAAAAAAAAAAAAAAACCTCGTGGTTTGCATAAACATGATTTCATGCATACGGTTTGCATATCTCAAACTACAACCTTGTTTCGTTGGACTCCGCATAGAGGATCAACGGACGGAAGATGTTTTGCGATCTTTTTCCTATAAGCAGTCGCAAATATCTGATTGGTGCTGATCGGTAAAATTTAAAATTACAGATAACTGGTAACCCTTTGTGGTTTACCAGGGATCGCACTGCGGGAGACTGGCCCTTCAAGGTTTTCAAAAATAATGTACGTGTACATCCTGACGTCCGGCCAGACTTCTTCAGTAAGTCCCTTCACGCTCGGTCAGAAAGAACTGCGCATCAAACTAGCATGTGTATGGTAATCAACTGGAACATTTACCAGATAACATCTTAGCACTTACTCATTTTCTTTATCCACAGCAATAACGCATGGGAATATAACTTGAGGCCACGCTAAGAGTATTGAGAAATGCAATAAGGATGAGTGACAAGCAACAGTAATAGGTAGACAAACAAAACAAACAAACAAACAAACGAACAACCGACCGAATGAACGACCGAACGACCGAACGACCGGGCGACCGGACGACCGGACGACCGAATGATTCGAACAACCAAACGACCGAACTACCGAGCGACCGAACCGAATGGCCGAACGAATGTAAAATAAATACATTACAAATCGCCATATGTACCATCTTCCAGGGCAAAGCCAGCTTTGACTGCACTTGATCCTAAGTCGATTATGATAGTCATGCCCTGAAAACAACAAAAGAGGCTTGGTTAGAATCTGCTGAAAAGACAAGCATAAAGGAGATTACCATACTATTGGGGAAAACTTAACAAACTAACGACAAACGAAATGAAAGTATACTGCAATCAGTGAACGAGCTTGGCACTCTAGGCGTTAAAGAAAGAAGATGAACAAGTACCTCAGTGACTGGAGACTCTCCTGGTACAGGACTGCTGTCTACTGGTACTGCAGACTCAGCCTCTAGTGCCTCTCGCCAGTCCTCCGCTTCTTTGACAGAGAAACACTTCAGCTTCACTGAGCGGCCGCCTTCATTCTGACGATAATAAAAAAAAAAAAATGCAGCGACAGATGACAGTGTAGCTGAAATCTTCCACGGGGCAACTATCAGACCGATAGTTCCGAGACAGTGTCTAAATTTTCTTCCGCGCGCCAACTTTGAACAAAAACCCACTTATTGCAATTCCAATTGTTTATTTTCTACAAGCCAGCTTGTTTACAGAAAAAGTTCCACGGACGAGTACTATCCATCCGGGTATTTTCCTCAGATGTGCACTATGGGCTGATAGTGTCTCTCCGAGGATGAACACTATCGCGTCACGAGATCAATTTAAACCAATAAGAATCCGAGAAAATTTAGTGGTGAACCGTAATGGCTGATAGTGTACGATCACTCAGTCAATCAGGTTGCAGCATTTCTACTAAAAACTCGATAGAAATACGAAAAAATTTAATGTTTAGTCTAGCCTCTCGCAAAGGAACACACTAACGCTTGGGACCAGAAAGAATCCTCAATAACAAGAATGAAAACTTGCACATGTACGTTCTCTAAGGGACATTGCACTTACCTGTTCAACTACTTCCAGCACTTTATCTTCAACCTTTTTCACCTAAAACAATGAAAGACAAATTCTTAACGTTATCATCATTAAACTGTCCATTAAACCACAATGTAGCTGTAGAACTGTGTCCAATTGATCAAGGATATACATCAGAAAAAAATACGGTACAATTGTGATGTTTTAACATGCAACCGCTTGGGTTTAAATTTATCCCATGGCTTTTTTCAGAGGGCTTATTCGCTTGGAGGGGGAGGGGAGGGGGATTAATGGTTCAGTATAGAAAGGAAACGATGCTGTGCATTTTCTGACTAGGTTGACGAAGAACGTATTATCAGAAGTTACGCAAAAAGAAAATAAACTTTCACTTACTTTACAACCGACCAGGTTTACAAACCCTAAGGATTCCATGGTCCGATGATCCTGTTAACAATGAAACATAAACTTAGAACCTTACGTTGCTTCCCTATAAAACAGTTATGTGTTGCATTGCAGGGCTGGAAAAAACCCAGGTCCGATAGACCGGGGCAAGCAAATTTTGCTCTTGGGGTGAAAATGGAAGTTTGGTGGTCCAGTGGGAAAGTGAAATTAGCGTCAGTCGTCTTGTTAGTGATGATTTCTAATCAAAACAATGAGTTGAAAGCATGGATTAATTTAAACCAAGCATACTTGATTATAGACAGTACTTAGTAAATGATGTAGTTGATAAGGCATGAACATTGTGCGCCTATTGGGAAAGTTATTTTGTAGTGGGGGCAACTGAAAACTGGATTTTTATCATTTGATTGTAGTTAGGAAGATACGTACTAGCTAGATTAAAGACTGGTGAAATACCGTGTATAAATAAACTTAACGTATCGTATCGTATCGAAATCTACTAGCCCACTAGGCAACTAGATTTCATTTTTTTTCCCCATGCCCTGCGGGTTACAGATATTACACGCATAAATCACTTCAGGTGTCTCGCAGTTGCATGTCATGGATCAAATGAATGGATTCAAATCAGGGTACCTCATAGTAATAAAGTTTGCCTTCCACAGCTTTAAAATGCCGCTTCTTCCAAGCCTTGAAGACAGAAGTCTATAAAATACAACATTATACCAACAGGTTGACTACAGGGCTACAGGGCTACAGATTTACATGAGCGCCGTACAACTTTTTTGAACACACGCATCGAATTAAAAGTATGTACAGGTAGTTAAATCCTCGCATTTAACGGCAAATGACAAACACCACAGCCTAGGATTAATTCAGTCTCGACGTTTCCGCAAATTATTCAACAAATTTATCAGATTAATACTAAAAAAACTTCCCCCGTGCAAGCACAACAGCACCTAATACTTTGGTCATTACCTACATGAAACCACTTAAATGATAAGGAAAAAAAAAAACAAGCAAAACATAAACAACGGACGACAAGAGGTTTGCTTTTCGCTGCGTGCAGGACAAAACAAACAAACAAAAACAGTTACGAAAAACACAAATAAACATATCTTGTTATTTACATGTCTCTCTCTGACAACTTGAGTGCCTTTCACTGATCAACACAACAAATTTACTTTCTGAAATTTAAAGGAGCTCAGTCATGGTTTGCACATTTTGAAAAGTTAAGCGTCAATTTTTCGAATTAGTCGTTTGCCGTGTCAATCTTCGCCATCCTTGACCATCCTTGTTCCTTTATGGTTTATTATTATCTCTTTGATGTTTTTCTATCTTAGTCAACTATTATTTTCAGGTTTCCTTCCATTTAAAGGAGATTTTGTACGTGACCAAAACAAGACAAAACACCGTGGCTGAGCCCCTTTAATCTACACTACAGTACCGTACCCTTTTCATGCTTCCCCTCACAGGCTGTTTCTCCATATATCCCGCCATGCGAATATTATCAACACTGGCGTCCATGGTCCGCTTAAATCAAACACAAATAGGTAACTTCAGTGGGTCATTATTTACACAAAAAATCAACGCAGAATATTTGTTTCGTAATAGGCTGTGTCACCAGTACACCACCATTCAGTCCACAAAGCGTTATCCAACTTGCAATGTTTCAATGAGAATTGTGACGATCGGGCCATGATCATATGCCATGTAGTACTTCTTCTCAGCACTCCCCCCCCNCCCCGCCCCCGTCCCCTTCTGAAAGATTGCGACCTCTAATTCCACACAACCGTAGACTGCGAGCAGTCTCTGTTTTGCTCGAAAATCCGTGAGGAAGAACGCAAAACAAGTAAGCGTCCGAGCGTGACTGTGAGCGTGACATGCGAGCGGCGATGCCATGCCGCTAGTCGCTGCGCTCACAGTCACACTCGCACGCTCACTTGTTTTAAGTTCTTGCCCACGGATTTTCTGGCAAAAGAATGGCTGCTCGCAGTCTAACACAACCGAGACTTCAACCACACAACGTTAAAACTGGCATGGAGTATTAAAGTATTAAGGGCATTGAAGCAAATTTTCTGAGGAAAATCTCCAGCTTATGAAAAAGCTATCAGCTAACTTTGGTTTCTTTCACAAACGGTGGAATCAAATCAAATTAAGCCAACATGACTCGTCACGCAATCGCAACCTCTCTGATTGCGTGACAAGCCGTAAGAGGAAACGTTTCGCATGATAATTAAAGTACGACACACGCGACACGCTAACATGAAATAGACAGGCAATCGAACGGTTCCCTCTCGTCTTCCCTCACTGAGCAGATGGAACTGTCTACCTGCTAAATGGATTCATTACGTTTCGGTGAAGACTACCACAACAAGTTTGATCCAAAAGTTTACCTTAACTATTACAACGGAACAGGAGATCAGCTTGAGTCATACAGCGAATTTCCTTTAAGATGCTTTCATGAATTTTGGTCGAAAATGGCAAAACGAAACGCAAGAGTTCTCAACTTCGGTGGGGGACCTGCCATCTACGATCTTATAAGTGCTGCACCATATGCCGAAGAGATCATCTTTGCCGAGTACAGCGAAGAGAATCGGAAAGAAGTAGCCGCTTGGCGAGAAAGATCACGTGATGCTCACGACTGGTCGCCATATTTCAGGTTCGTTGTGCAAAGATTTGAAGGCAAGGGAAGCGAAGAAGCGCTGATTCGAAAAGCTGAGCTAAGAAAGAAAATAACTCATATTTTGCCCTGTGATATTGCATTGGAAGACCCGGTGAAATGGCCCGCTACATGGACTTCCCAGCTTGCCTCGTTCGATGTCGTGACAACTAGTTGTTGCATCGAAACAGCAGTGAAATCTGACACAGAGTTTAGGAACGCAATTGCGAATTTGCAAAAATACTTGAAACCGGGTGGATATCTGATTATGTAAAGCTCCATAGGTCAGAATTTCTATAGAGTAGGGAAGGAAAAGTTCCATTGCTTTTCCGTGAGCGAGAATCAAATCCAAGAAATATTACGCCAAGAGGGTTTTGGTGAGGTGGACATGAAATTACAGGCAGACCCAAGAAGCGAGTTGTATGATCGTGAAAAACTGTACTTTGTCAGCGCTAAACTCGAAAATAAATAGACTGAAATTGTTGCTGAGAAGAAATAGAAAGTTGTTAAAACTATCGACAATAGCACTAAATTCAATTACACGGTGCATGACCACACAGTGCTACGTTCGACACAATGCTGGAATAACTCTCGCAATCGGCGGGAAAAAAAAAGGCAAATCTTGCTGTTCTTGTACCTCTTGTACATGATTGTGACTCGGCAATTAAAACCGAAACCGAAAGCCAAATAATATATGTAAAAACAAGCAAACGAACAATTTTTCGCGCTGTAATTCTTTGCTCCCGAACCCCACATAAACGCTTGCTACGCGGGCTAACGAACAAACAACAACAAAAATGAAATCTACCGTGACGCTAACCTGGCGTGACTCGACTTAACTCGTGCTACAACAATGCTACAACTGCACTGAACCATGAAACTATCCTTCAATGAATTTGCATATTTCGTTCACTTTCTTCTTTTTTTCTTTTTTTTTCTCTTTTTGGTATTATTATTTGTTATTATTTTTGGCTGTTCACAAGGACGAAACATCCCTATTTTAGCCGTCAGAGTATCTTCTACGGTGTGCTAGAAGAAACAGTAAGAAAAATGTTGTCATTTCTGCACTAACTTTTCACTTCACTTTCAGCCGTAACCTCCTTGGGAGGGGGGGGGTATTGGGCCGGAAAGTGCTATATTTTAGGGGTCAAATAAAGCTGAGCCCACGCCCGGATTGGTCTACTTCAGGATTAGATTCAAGTTTTTCATTGAGGAGTTCCCACCATCTCCCCCCCTCCCCCCCTCCTTTGCTCCCCTTCTCCCCTCTGGTCTCAGGCTCCTCTAAAGGGTATTAAATTTGGAGCATGTCGAAACAAAGGAAATCACTGCAAAAATGCTAAAGATAATTAAAACATACTGTCAGAAACATACATGTAATTTACAGTAAAGCAATACAGTTTCGCTTTGTCATGCAATATCAATACCTGTAATTTCGATGGCATTGAAATGGTGAAGGGCGACTAGGGTCCTTTAAACAGGTTCAACTGTACAATGTATATAATTTCATGCCATGTTTGCCTGTTTTCAAACTGCTGACCATGAATAGAAAGTCTTCTGGTATTGATTTATACAGTAAGTATGAGGAAGCAATGGAATCCAATGCATTTCATTTAGAACTCTACATGTACAAGCCTTACCAGTGGAGGGGTGGGAAGTGGACGCACATTGCCAAACAACTCCTGGAGGACTGGCGTCTACGGATCAAAACAACAAGGACAATGAGAACTATGTATCATTTTGTTTTACAACACAGTCATGTATTTTGCACCTAGCTTGCTGCCAAATGACGCAGATTGTACAGTCAGGTACATTATGTTCACTTCACTGACTTGCAAGGAAATATTCTCTAGCCTGTTTAAAAGACAAGCTTGTGATAAATTCCCTAAGTGTGCCATATCATCAAAACATTGCAGCCATTTTTGATTGATGATTTGTTAAGAAGAGCGATGAATCTTTACAACACACTCCCTTTTTTAATAATATCTGAGCAAATTGCATGATCTAACCAAGCAAATACTGTACAGTGTGTTAGTCCTTCTACAACACCAGTGATACTAAAACAAATGAAAGCTATAATTGAAGTTTTATACTCACAGGATCCCAGTTTTGTAAGTGTTGTTGCTCTACAACCAAAGCATCTGGCTCATCTTCTCCCTGATTAGCATAAATAGACAACTGCTTGTCTGCAGGTTTTTCACCCTAAACAAGAGATTTGAAAAACTGTACATGACATCCAACATACATTTATATTTCACAGTTACTGTGCATGCTGTGATAAATCAATTTCGTGGACCAAAATCTACAGTGCAGCCAATAAAAATTTGAAGCTGTTCAAAAATTACGGCCAAAATGTGATTTTTCACCGAGTGTTCGTAACAGTACAAGCAACACTGCTTTAAAACCATTCCACATAAATAGAAATGTTGTTTCCCGAACCCATTAGACACAAGGGAGGTATATTTTAAAGCTCTTAATAATGTCTTCTTTTCATTTAGCACTGTACTTTGCGCTTCACGCTTGGGCCATAAAGCAAAGGGGAGAAAACTTGGTCCATAACTTACATGTACTGTAGTTACTAAGATGTAAGTACTGCAATAATTGGGAACAGATCTTTGCACAGTCAACAGCCAAAGAAATGTTTTTAAATTAGAACTTAAAAATAATAAATTTGTAGTGCTGCAATTTGCAAAACTCTTACCTTTTCTGACACCTTCTCGCTACCACTCCCCCCAGCTGTGTCTCTCAACTTCTTCGACGAGGAATATGGTGGGGGCTTTGGAGGTGCTGGCCGTGAAGGTTGGCTTGGAAAAATTGTTTCATATAAATCATTTTCATTTTGTTCACTTTCCTTCGAAGCCAAAACGTTGATGCCAGGCTCAGTGAGAAATGTTTGATCACCCTGTGCATGTACTTGAAGATTTTGTTGAGTGGTAGCAGTAGCTGGATCTCGAACATCTTCGACATTTGAGTACACTAGATTGATAACCTGGGATGCTTCCACCTCTGTTGTTATCTCAGCAGTTGTGTTGTTACAGACAGGCATTTGTGAATGCTCTCCACTGTTCACCAGTGCTGGAACGTGTTTCTCTGGTTCTGCTTTATTAGTTTCCTCCATTGTTTTACTGATGTTATGGTCTCCTGCAGACCAGGGAGGGAGCTCAGATGCTATAGATCCATTCTTCTGAAGTTGCTAATGAAAACAAAAATAATATTCATCGTCATCATCATCATCATCATCATCATCATCATTGTTATCATTGCTGCCGTCATTGTCATCATTGTTGTCATTGATGTCGTCAACGATCATCATCATTGTCATTGTTGTTGTCATCATCATCACTATCATCATCATAAAAATTTTCACATTAAACTAAATTATCACCATGACCCATCAAGACAAATTTTGAAATTTACATGCATGTTAATACCTGAGTGATGCAGCGAAGGAATCGGCTTCTCAATCTTGCCACTTTACTTTGACTTGTGATAATTTTTTGAGTGACATCAACATTTTTGCCATCCCATCCACTGCCAAAAATGTCACAATTTAGGTCACATGCATGGTAATATGTTTTAAGTAGCAGTACTAGTAACTTAAAATCATATTAATTTCCATTTTAAGTTGTAAGGTATACATGCACAAATATAGTGAAGGAGTTTCTGTTTTACTCAGCAGAAGGGCAACCTCTTTTTCACAGGCTGGCAAAACTTTTTACCTTGAACTACTTTTTAAGAAAGCTTTCTTCTGAATGGTCAAACCAGGCAAGCAAAATCATGCTCACCGCCGGTCAATTTGCCCGGTGTCCAGTCCTTAATAAAACCCCTGAACTAGCACATGATTTCTCGTCTAGTTTAAATGCAAATGGATCTGATCAGACCAATTCTTTTACATGAACAGCACATGTGTACATGTATGCTTTACTTGATAAACTTGTACTCAGTCAATCAAATACAGCTGAACCTCCTATGCATGGACACACTGTACTTAACTGGGGCTTGAGTGTGTGTCCTGTTGGAAGCTGTACATGTAGGTGTCTCAGGGTAAATAGAAGGTTAAAGTGTATGTGACTGAGACCAAGACTACAGTGTATAATTTTGTATACATTTACATGTGTCTGCTTCACAAAGGAGGTGTGTACTATGGGAGGCATCTGCTAACTGAAAGCAGGTTCAACTGTAATTACAGTCGAACCTCCCGTAAGCGACCACCCAAAATGTCAAGCCTACTGCAGGTGGTCGCTTATGGGAGGTGGTCACTTACGAGAGCTTAGATCATATTGGGTCAAAATCTTGCCTCATTTAAGCATGTGGTAACTGCGGAGACTTACACCATGTTTTTAAATGTGTTACTCACGTGAAAAGTAAATTTCGAAAAAAAAAAAAAAAAAATTCAGTACATCCCATTGAGAAATTTCTGTCTCTTGTGCTACCCAGGAATGCATTAATGTTACTGTAACAACACCTTATTATCCAATTACAGCTCTATTATCTGTAAAGGGGTCGCTTACAAGAGGTTAGAATCAAAAGAAAATGTCAAATTCTTAACTCTAAAAGTGGCTGCAGTTGCTTACGAGAGGTGGTCACTTACAAGAGGTTCCAAATATAGTGATTTGACTTGCAAACTTTTGGTAATTATTTTGGAAAACTGGTCACTGGGGAGCGTCTGGGTAGTCATTTATGAGAGAAAGGTCACAACTGGAGGTTCAATTGTAATTTACATTTTGTGCACGTGTAGATCAGATCGGACTTTCATAATGCCAAGCAACAGCACCTTATCGCTGCCATGTGGCTTCTGGCAAGTTGCGATGGGACAGATAAAATCTCCTATAATCAATCACATAATTTCAATTTAAATACAATCCATCCACACTGTATATTTGAGCCCTTACCTTTGCACTGCTTTCAAGTTTTCTAAACATTTTGATATTTGTTGCTCTAAATCTAAGTGCCTTTGAAGAATGAGGGTGGCAGCCTCCAACTCCTATATAAAGGCAAAAAAGAAAAAACAAACTGTAAACAAACAAACAGACAAACAAATGAGAAGACAAACTCTTTAGGAGCTACCAGTCCTAAGTAAGGGAGCTATCTAGATACTAAAAAAGGTCAAAAGAGCAATCACCAGAAATCAAAAAAAACAAAAACAAAAGAAAGACAGAAAGAAAAGAAATGAAGTTGCAACTAGTAATTAGAGTGTCATATGGCAAGTCAGTGACTTACATTGGCTGACAGAGTCTTCAGAAGATCATCAAACTCCTGGTCAGTGCATCGACAAACTTTTTCACTTTTCCCCCAGTTGTAAGAATCTGTATGGCAAACATGTGAATCAACTGGTATTAATATTAAATTTTCATTAATTCTGACAATTCAGTGGGAGGAGTGGTGTTCTATAATGGTTAACATCCTGGTCTCCAGATTGAGCTGTGGGTCAAGTGGTCTGGGATCAAGCCCTGGTAAAGGTCAAGTCTACATATGAGCCAAGTGCCCCATCAGGCCGGAGCTTATCCAGGTTTCTGTAGCATGAAGCGACTAGGAGTATTTCTTGCCTATCAAGGCTACAGAAATAAGCCTAAGGATATGCTTCAGTGCTATAAACTACTTGGCCTGATGTGGTCTTACTTTACCTTACTTGCAGTTCAAGAGCAGCCGGTACTCTCATTAAAGGGCCACCATCAACCAGAGTGTGCTTTGCAACACCTCTGTTATTGTTATTAATATTGAATTCCTCACATGTTATGTTGATTTGTCACGAGCACATTGATTTTGTAAACCAAACAATATGGCAGCTTTCCTTTCGTGGCAGATGTCCTCTTTTAGAACGTTTCATGTTCGTAACACTGACAACGAAACACCAACTAAACATGGAAAACAAGTATTCGAATCTTACAGAAACTTCAGGAGGAGATTTAACCCACTGTAGCTAAAGATGGCAAAGATGCAGTCCGCTAAAGAGACACAATGGAAAATTCACTATTTTCTGTATTACAGAAAATGTTGCCAATGGCGAGCTTGCCCGCAATGTACTGTGGTTGATTGTGGTCCTTTGATTTAAATAGATCTCCTGGAGACAAAATTACTGTCATGACTTTGTCTGAATTTATCTGAGAACAATTCGGTATGACTTGTCATTGTTTTTACAACTGGCCCCCACATTTTGACAGGCATGTTTTTCCTTTCTTTTTTTGTTTGTTTGTTTGTTTGTTTGTTTGTTTGTTTTCTTTACTTTGTTTTCTTTTTCAGTTAAAATCATTTCTGAAAAAAAAAAGAAAGAAAACAACTTCTGATCACATCAAATGTGATCAGAAGTTGTATTTTCGTACAGTTATGTTTATGTTTCTTACTTCAAAGTCATTTCTTACGTTTTGGAGAAACAAAGAAATCAAAGAATTGGCAGCTGTTTTTGATAACAAGATCTTTAATTGCCATGTGATATGATGTTGCGTTTTATAACAAAAGATTTACTGGCATGTTACAATGTATATATATATATATATATATATATATATATATATATATATATATATATAAATATACCTTGTACCCTCTGAGTTTATCAAGAAGGACAGAATCTGCCATCCACTTGACCCTTGCCTATTAAATTATTAATTATTTAAAACAAGAAGGTGCAATACCTGCAGAAGATTTATAAACCTCTTTGAGTTTGTCTAGTTCACTCTGAAGTTTCAGAATAGCTTCATCTAAGATAAAAAAAAACAAAACAAAAAAAACAATGCATATTATGAGAATTTAAAATAAGTAATGTAACTGTGGTATATGTTCAAAGACTTTTAAGAGCCCATTAACCAATTTACGCATGCACACGTGTTGCTAAGGAGGGTAAAATTTCACTTGCGTCAGCCTGAGCGCGGAAAATTCAAACAATTCAACAACATGGAAATATACATGTACATTTTAGAAGCTTTTTCTTTGTCTTGCACAAAATGCAAAGTAAAAAAGGGCAAGCAAAAACAAACCAAGTGAAAAACAGAAAAACAAGAACAAAAGAAACAGAGAAACTGTATTTGTATTGCTTTCGTGTGCTACATTTGATCTTATCGAGCCGCTGGTAGTGAGAACTCATGTGCACGCAACTACGCACACGCTGGTAGGGTAACTGCTGATAAATATCGCGGGCACTTCCAGTTTCTTTAAACGCTAACGGAAATGCGGGTTTTAGTTAAATCCAGCTTTTTTCCACGAGTTATGATTTAAGCCAATGTTGGAAACATAGCTATTCATTCCTTTAAATTTGTAAAATCATACCACTTTCAGAAAATCACGAATTTTTCAATATTTTGAAATTCTCTCAAAATCTAACCATTTGGAAATGAAACAAAATCAATGCATAGCATAATAAAGATTAAAGTTAGAATATCAAATCAATGGAAAAACTCCCGATAAAGTAATTTGCTTGGGAGCCTTTGCATTTTTTCAGAATTAGTCACATGACCGCGGGCATGGCCTGATGATGTCATCAGTGATGTTACTGATCATGAAAAAGTTAAAACACATGAAATAATTCTGAACAAACTAAAAATGATAAAGTTATTCGACAATAAATTTTCATTAGCAACAGATCAAAAAGATCAGTTAATGGGCCCTTAAGCTTTAATTAATTCTCACAATTTCCATCCTGTTTCTTCAGATTCTGCATAAACATTGGCATGTGTAATTAATTTTAAGTATTAATTAATCCATAACACTCTATTGATCAATAGAATTATTAAATTTAAAGGGGTGTTCAGTTCAGCAATAACCAAAGCCACATTTGATTGCTTTAATTACCTCAATTTGTTTTACATGATGACTGTTAAAATATGACTTGTTTCAACAGTTACATGTATATCACTTACATGTAGTAATCAACAAATCAGAAGGAGTTTTAGCAATTCTTTTATTGCATCTACTGCATCAATGTTAATCCCCAAGGGGGGGGGGTGGGGGGGAATGCAGGTAAGGGGCATGGACAAGTTCTTAAAAACATTGATCAAATTCCACAGGGTGGGAAAACAAACATCAATCAAAAGTTTCAAAAAAGCCCCACCAGGTGGGACAAATATCCAAATACTACAGTCTATAAAACAGATGAAAGTACACTGGAAAAGCAGGTTCTCGCTACCTTTATTTAATGTAAAAATGATGTGACTTTTACCTTGGAATTAGACTTTCTGAAAAGTCCTTCGTCTTGTTTATTCAGTGGGGGACTATTCAGTACCCGCCGGATGAAGGCCTTTTCCTGCTTGATTGCTGCCAATTTTAGCGACCCAAAAACGGGTCACTGCGCTTCAACTAATCAGAGGTCGCCTGGATATCCCTTGGGGACCAAATTGTCAAACTACGCGCAACGAAACGTGACTTGCGGTTAAATTCAATATGGGGTCGATTGCAAAAGCCATTAATGAAGCTTCAAAGGCCATGGGATATCATGTATTGTGTGACTACCAGAAAAAAACAGTGGAAGCATACATGTATCTGTCTGGAAGAGATGTGTTTGTTTCTGCACCAACCGCAGCTGGGAAAAGTTTGACTTTCGAGCTAGCTCCATATGCGTTTGATTGTTTGAATGGAGATCATGCAAATAGCAACTCCATCATATTGGTGGTGGTTCCGCTTATTTCCCTGATGAAAGATCAGGGAGACGACTGTTCTGAACAACAGTTACAGGACATTTTAGATCTTAAAGTTAAACTGGTATTTGGAASTCRGGAGGRGATTCTCAYCAACTATCYCCACARTGTTGTTCRGCCTTTCTTGGCTTCAATGGACTTCCTCYATGATTSGAAGCTTTCTCTTACTTCAAGAATCTTCCGAACTACGGTTTCGTTTTTGTCTGCGCAYTTTCGGCACAAAATGTTTGTCAAAAGTGAACCTTCGCCACTGGATATCTCCTTTCCGGCGATCAATTCAAGATTCAAACAAGCTTTGGTCTTTTTTTGGCTACCCGATATCGTCAATTTTCATTAAAAATCTTTGTTCGTATATCACTTTAGTATAGAGTAAACAAATTTGCTCTTTTGACGCAGGCGAAACGCACACATGTTCGATTGTTTTGGTCAGAGTGGAACCGATATTTTTCGCCATTCAATTCCATCCAAATGTAATCTCAGAAACCAGTTGCAAGTCACGTCAGTCCTCATTTTTGGCATTAAACGAAAATGAAAACCCTTCAAGCGAGACAAGTCGACTTCTCACGACTTCGTCGCTCGCTCAGCTGATTCGCGACTTAAAACGGCTGCTTCGCAGCCTAACATATTCTACCCTGAAATTCATGAGGTCGACTTGTGGCAAGTCTACATTGGAATTTGATATCACTAAGTTTTACAATCAAACGTGCTCTTAAAGCTAATAAAGGTCTTTCTCAAAATAGACAATATCTGATTAGATGGCAGTCTGAAGTGTCAGATAAATGCAAAGAAAAAAAATAAAAACTTTCCTTTCCCCAAAGCTTAAGCTCTGAGAGATAAACTTGGTAGCATATATATGTAAATTATGTCACCCCCACCCNCCCCCCCCCCCCTTCAAACCCCAATGTGGGATTAACATAGATAGATGCTTAAAACCAATTGTTAAATGGCACAAATGGCTCTTAGTCATCTTTATTTGTTCGTTGTTTTTATTACCTGTAGTTCACTGTGTCACTTTTGTTACAGAATACTTTTGCAGTGATTCGTCAGGGAATTCAAATGCCTTGTTCAATATTGAAAGGGGCTCTAGCATTAGACACTTATTCATGTTTGCAGTAATTAGTACCTTTATATCCAGTATCCATTATTCAACATTAAGGACAGTCTCTGCAATATATCCCAGTGCAACTAGGTTCTAAAGGAGAACATTCAAGTCTGAGTCACTATGTAAATGTATTAAACAAGTTGACAATAATCTATAGAGCTTAAGTTTAATACTCCTTCAGTTCGCGTTCGTTACACCTGAACTTCCAATGCATAAATTAGATTGATCGGGTACCATATAGCATGCAATTAGTGCATTTTTGTGTGTGTGCGTGTTTTTTAAGCACGCCCGTTCGAGACAGCAGTGTGCGTATAAAAGACGTGCATGAAATCTCATCAACTTTAATCATGACGATCTACAATTTGTTAAATGATGGTTATGCAGGCATCAAGAACACGTTACAAGAAAGCCTTCGAAGAATAAGCAGTTTGAATTTGACATTGTTTATGACGTCAGGTCAAACGACTCTTGACTATTAAAACATCCCGTGATCCCAACGCGTTCCAAATATCTACAGAATGCAAGAGCTCATCCAATAAACCTGCATCTAAGTGACATCCAGTATGCAATAGCCTCTCCAGCCAAAGACAAAACATACCTTTCAGATTTGCAGCATGTAAGACGTGATTATCCGTCTGTAAACGATATCATGAAAAGACGGCAAACAGCGAGAGCACGGAACTAAAATGAAGATTAAAGTTTACATGTAGCTTTTACCTTCGTGCAATCGATGCTCTTCCTGCTTAGTTGCCACGCCTCGGAGAACTTGTGCCGAATCTCATTTCTTTTGCGTCACGCAGTCTTCTGCCTGTATTATGCGTGGCGTGACACACCCCTCTGTAATGTGAAGCGATGTTTCAATCCTGCTTCTGATGTGAAAATATAGAATGACTGGTGCCATTATTACTGAGTAAACAAATGATGTTGAATATTTTTGCTATTTTGAGGCTAATCAAAATTTAACCAAATTTCTCTTTGTCTGACATTTAAACGCCAAGGGACTGGAAATAATATTGTACCCAGTCTTTGCGTGCCATGTTGTTACAGATGATTCGAAACCTCGCTCTACGTGGCTGTCGTGTCTTTACGGAAGTTCACGTGGGTTTCTTTGCGGTGAGAAGGAGCTTGTTTCATTCCTCGAGGGCAAATCAACACCGTGAGGTAAAATATTTATTATTAGTCTTAATAGGATGTCTTGTGTATGAACATAATTTGCATTTGAGGTACGATCACACATCCGCATGTAGATCATTGTACTCGGTTAAAACAAAGACTCGTCACATTTCAAAAAACTTCTATTCTGTTCTATTCTACTCTCAATTCAACCACTTATCTCCGCTATATATTCCCGCTTGATCTTCACACGGTCTGATCATTTCAACTTCCCCCGCCAAGTCCTTCATCAGCAAAACCTTATTCTGAGCTGAGAGCCGTTACGTAATACATAACAATTATTTTGTGTACCTTTGCTATTTAAAATACCATATCTAAGACAATTTTGCTGGAAATGTAATGCAAAATAAAAGCTCCATCAGAATGTTATAATTTAATATGTTTTCAAATTAGAGATGTCATGTTAAGGGCTGAGGCCCTAGGAGGGTCTGAGTTTCCTACATCCCGTTAAATGTTGGCCTAAACATCCCATATCCTGAATATTGTGTATCCCATAAACCCCTAACACTGGGCCTGGTGGCTGGTTTTCACTAGCACACAAATAAAGCATATTATTATTAACATATGAAGACAGGATGATAACAGAGCACTGCGAAGCAGCAGCTTTTGTTAGGAAGTTGTCTTAATAAAAGGTGCTAATTACAAACATCTTGTTGCACCTGCGTATGTCAGCTTACGCTTATGCGCTACTGAAAACCAATCAATTTGCTCATTTGGTTGGATCTTATCATTACAGGCAGGAGTGACCATGGAAACCAAAGCAGGCAAATCTGTTATTTACTTCGTGCGAAATGACCTGCGTGTTCATGACAATGAGTGCTTGTACTGGGCTCAACAGAATGGAGACTTTGTGATTCCTTTATTTTGCTTTGATAAGAACATCTTTGGTCACAGTGCCATGACTTGGCACTATAAATTTGCAAAGACTGCAACACATAGAGCCAAGTTCATTCTGGAAAGTGTATCTGACTTAAGAGAAACATTAAAGAAACATGGGAGTGACCTAGTTGTGCGCAGTGAGCAGACGGCAAAGGAGGCAGTCTCAGAAGTCATTAACTTATGTCGTCAGAATAATGAAGGACACATTTCACTTGTGTACCAGAGAGAAATCACTAAAGAGGAAACCGATGTAGAAGCTGAATTGTTGGAGCTATGTAAAACCGAAAATGTCACAGTGAAGTGCTTTTGGGGATTGACATTGTACCATTTGGAAGACCTGCCATTTGCCTCAGTGCGTTCTTTGCCTGACACATACACAGGGTTTCGGAAAAATGTTGAGACTAAATGCAGAGTGCGGCCCCTGATTCCAGCTCCAGACAGTCTAAAATCTCTGCCAGTGTTTGTAGCAAATGACCACATTGGCAGAATTCCAACTTTGAAGGAACTTGTAAAGGATCAGTCAGCAGAAACAACAGATGCAAGAACAGCTTTCCCATTTTCTGGAGGAGAAACAGCAGCTCTTGATCGGCTTAATCATTACCTCTGGGACACGAACCTTGTTGCTAGCTACAAGGAGACACGCAACGGGCTTATCGGATCAGACTACTCAACAAAATTCAGCCCATGGCTGGCTGTGGGTTCTCTCTCCCCTCGGAAAGTGTTTCATTGTATTAAACAATACGAAACAGAGTGCACAGCAAATCAGTCAACGTATTGGGTCATCTTTGAGCTTCTGTGGCGTGATTACTTCAAGTTTGTCAGCTTCAAGTATGGTGATTCCATCTTTTACCTGTCTGGAATTATGAAGAAAAGAGGGTTACCATGGAAGCGAGACATGCCGGCATTTGACCAGTGGCGATATGGCCAGACTGGGGTTCCATTTGTGGATGCTAACATGAGAGAGCTACTGCACACTGGCTGGATGTCCAATCGTGGACGTCAAAATGTGGCAAGCTTCCTGGTGAAAGATCTCGGGCTTGATTGGCGCATGGGTGCAGAGTGGTTTGAATCTCTTCTCCTAGATCACGATGTATCCAGCAACTATGGCAACTGGAATTATTCAGCAGGCATTGGCAATGATCCGCGTGAAAACCGTAAGTTCAACATGGTTAAACAAGCCCTTGATTATGATCCAGATGGAGATTTCGTGAGGATGTGGGTTCCAGAGTTGGCTGGTCTTAAAGGAGCTAAAGTCCATACTCCTTGGATGTTGTCAACATTGGAAGTGAAACATGCCAGTGTAACTCTGGGGGAAAACTATCCCAGACCAATGGTTTGTCCACCTGAATGGAACCGGCACACATCAAAAGTCAAAGACACTGCAAAATGGCCAAGGACACAACGTAGAGGAGTTGATTTCTATTTCAAGTCCCCAAAGGAGGCAAGCTCATCGAAGAAAAGACATTAGTTTAAGGTTTCCAAAGATCTGGATTCTTAAGGAGCATTGGAATTAATCTTGAATACTCTTCCTTAATTACATTGACTTAATTACTTGACCAGAGGCAGCCCAAACTCACATTGAAAATTGAGGTAATTTAATAATTTGTGTGAACATTGTAAGATTACTCTCTGAAGTACAAAGAACATGTAAGTGGTGTCATGTGGCAATGCAGTCACAGTTGAGAACTACTATTGTACAAGATGATCAATTCTTGATGGTCAGCAATGTAACATTTAACACTGCTTTCTTAAGCCAGTCGCATGTCACTTGCAATGCTTGCATAAATTGTTTATTATGGTTTACCTCAGATCGTATCGTGTTATTGTTAAGGCACTGGCTGGGCTGCAGTGTCTTGACAAAAAAGTTTGTAAATGGCAATATTTTGTTGTTGTTAGCAATAAGTACATGTAGATTTAAAAGCTCTGGAACAGAAACATTTTTCCTGACATCTGATTGGCTGTTTATAGTGAGGACACTCAAACCATGAACACTTGATACAGTAAGTGTTTATACTTTTTTTAGTGCCCATAGAATGCAGGCTCTTCATTTTGACAAGAGTATTTAGTACTTCTACACTGTAAAATGCTTATATCATACATGTTATATCAAGAGTCTAAAAGTGTACAAGAACGTCAAGTTTTCGCAGTTCAGGTGTCCTTACTGTGAACAAGCAAAATAGAAGTACACCATGGGAAATGGCTTAACATGCATTTAGCTTTAAAATAACGATTTTATTCACAGACTTTGCTCCAGGCTGCAAACCAAAAGGATTACAGCTCTGGGAAAAAGATGACTATGTAATTCGGGCACATAATGTTTGTTTTTGTGTTGAATGTACCAGACAAATAATACTATAATTTTAAAATTACTTATTAATGATATTGTCTACTTAGTACCTAAGTACAAGCATATTAAAGTTAGCTACTTATTTCTGGGCACACAGTACCTTAGCTTATAATACATATTTCTGTCCTGGATTTACAAAATCATTTTTCGTACAATAAAGGGTGCAGGTGTTGTTGTTGGTTAATTTGACTAGTGCTCAGGTGTTATGCATATGGCTATGAATTACCGGTAAGTACTTGCATGAACTGTTGCCCATGTGTCCCTGATTTTTTTGGGTGTGAACTGAAATAGAACAGTTGATGAAAAGTTTATCGATAACTTTGCAAGCATTGTTGTGACTACAAAAAACATTGTTCAACAGGCAAGACAAAGCTATAAGTTAAGCAACAAAGAATGCTACCCTTCATAGAATCAAAAGAGATTTGAACTGATGGAGGACCAGCAATGAAGGTGTCCCTAATTCCAGATCCCCCGTTATAATTCAGGAGGTGGTGTGGTTCTGATCCAATAGGTATAACTCTGCAAAAGTGTTTCCAACAAATAACAATACTGAATAAAATAGAGCAGCAACATTCTAATTACAAAGTCAAGCATGCATAAGGTTCATGCACAGTGATTATTTACAGTACGTGCACTCCATGCAGTGGTCATTTGGCAGGTGCCGTGATGTCAAAAACAGAAAAATTTTAACTACATCTGTGTGCACTTTTCCTAGTCAGAGCCTTTGTAACCCGGGTGGGGGTCTCAGGGGTCAAGAATGTTTTCCTCTATATATGTGCTCACAGGCACAGTCCTCATCAACTATTAGGCATAGAGATTGAGACCAAATAATCTAATTGTTTTCCTTATAAATCTACTAGTTTACCTAAATCCTCTTCACAGACACTTTGAACATGCAAAGAGGCAGCCACCAGCTGTTTGTTTAGTTACAAGTGTACACTGTTAGGCTACTCACTAGATACAACAATAGATAGTGAGTGACATAGCGAATCACATATTAGGCATTTGCGCAGAATGATAGTAGATTCATTCTTAAACTAGATAGTAGCCTAGTAGTGCATGGTTGTCAACAAAATGAAAGCCACTTCTTTGCATTTTCAGAATGTCTGTGAAGTGGCTTTAAGTCTCTATGTGTAATAGTTGACTCAGGCAGTACTCTCATCAACTTTCATGTGATAGAAATCTTGAGCTCATAATCTAACGTAACTTGATGAGAGTATGTAAACACAGTTATCTTTCTGTGCTTTGAAAATAATTTATCAAAAGTTAGGCAAACTGTTGTCTGTGTCTCAGGGTTTTACAGCTGTCTCAAGTTGTCCCCAACCCCCTTCTGTCTAGATGAGGCTATGATGCTGTTGTTGAGTTTTCACATGGGCTAAACCATGAAGATGCTTCAATGATCTTTTTTTCAGTACTCTATGATTCTAGCAGTTCCTGTACGACTTTCTCCCAGGCCTTCACGGACAATTGATTTGACACAGAACGCATGAGGCGAAACGATTGCCACCACCCCTGGGGGGGGGGGGAGGTACTCCCACCCTTACCCCATTTATGACCAAAATCTGTAATTTTCCCTACCCTATTTATAACCTGACCAAAAATTTGATACCCTGTTTGTGACCTGAGCCTTAAATCAAAACCCTGCTTCAGATCTGCCTTATAAACTGTTCCTTAGCACAGACCAATGTTAAACATAATTTGTCAAGGGCTTTTGTTGATGGTCTTATTGATAATGATGAAAATGTAGCTTCTTTTTAAAAACATACCCATCTCAAGACTAGAAGGCAAAAGCCATATCCTATTTATGACCAAAATTGCCAAAATCAATAACCTATTTATGACCAAAACAGCTGAAAAACCATACCCTTTGGGGTCGTCCCCCACCCCCACCCCCCTTCCCCCACTACCCCGAGATTGACCAAGGCAACCTCAAGACAATAGTAGACAACTCTTGATTAAAGTCAATCCAAAGTTCTAACGTTGTTTCTAATGTACATTTTCGACCTTAGCGCTGAGAAAGTACACTTTTTCAGCATCACAAAACTCGTTTGGATCCATTGGTATACTCTTCATGTCCACGTCACCAAATCCCTCCTTGCGTAATATTTCTTGGATTTGATTCTCGCTCACGAAAAAGCAATAGAACTGTTCCTTGCCTACATAGTAGAAAGTCTCACCTATGACGCTGTACATGACCAGATATCCACCCGGTTTTAGGTATTTTTTCAACTTGGCAATTGCATTCCTGTACTCTATTTCAGATTTCACAGCTGCTTCAATGCACAAACTAGTTGTCACGACATCGAACGAGCCCAGCTGGGAAGTCCATGTAGCGGGCCATTTCACCGGGTCTTCCAATGCAATATCACAGGGCAAAATGTGACTTATATAGATTACTTCATGGTTGGCGAGTGCGTACGATTTTTATTCACGAGTTGCGAAGAATCGCAAACGAACGAGCGAGTCTTCGAGCGAGTGAGTTTGCGATTCTTCA